CTCTTGCGGTCCCGGGCAAGCTCCCAGGAGCCGCCAGCCTGGTCCCGGGAAGAGGGGGAGGGCTGGGGGGCATCGGGTGGCTGTCTCGAGCCGTGCCAGGTGCAGGGTCTGCTGCCTGGGTGCTGGCAGGCTTGCACCTGGCACGGGCACCGTAGCCAGCCCGTGCCCCTTTAAGAGGTCTGGGGCCGGGAGAGGGGCTGAAGAGTTTCCCTGGTGTTGGCCAGAGCGGCCACCAGGGAAACCTGGGGTGGGTCAGCCTCCCACTAGTTCGAATTAAGGGGCTACACACCCCTTAATTCGCACTAGCTAGTTCGAACTAGGCTTAATCCTCGTAAAATGAGGTTTTCCTAGTTCGAACTAAGCGCTCCGTTAGTTTGAATTAAATTAGAACTAACGGAGCGCTAGCGTAGCGCCTATGAAAGTTAGTTCGAACTAACGTCCATTAGTTCAAACTAACTTTGTAGTGTAGACATACCCTCTGATAGCCAGCATACCCTTAATGTCTACAGTCTATTGGTATCCATGTGTCATTCTTGTATTTGAAGCTAGAACTATGACATGTAAACCTGATCATTAATCTAGGGCTTCTAGTGAAAGCTACTCCTGGTGCTTATGGAACTTAGTGGCCCAGAGCTCAAGACAATGATCTGTAATTACTTTTTTACCCTGAACAACTGAACTGTGGCTGGTCCTACAAAGACATGTGACCATGGCACCTGGTGTTGGAATCTGCCTTGAAGTCTGTATTCTTCCAAAGATGGGGAGAATGGAACAAAAGTTTCCTATCCTGGGGAAATTCTATTTAAGGGATGGAAAGCAAAGAATGAAGGGTCTCCAGCTGGCTGCTGAAACGGTTTCCTCTCCCTAAGAGGACACACTGGAACATGTGCAAAAAAGGAGAACTGGAGCAAAGGAGCAAAGGTGTCAAGTATCAGAGGGGTAGCCGTGTTAGTCTGAATCTGCAAAAGCGACGAGGAGTCCTGTGGCACCTTATAGACTAACTGAAGTGTAGGAGCATAAGCTTTCGTGGGCAAAAGTGGGTCTGACGAAGTGGGTCTTTGCCCACGAAAGCTTATGCTCCTACACTTCAGTTAGTCTATAAGGTGCCACAGGACTCCTCGTCGCTTTTGAAGGAGCAAAGGAGCATAGCTCAGAGCAAAAGATCTGATTTATGCCGTGCCTCAGTGCATAGGATGGATAGCGCCTTTGGTCTGCACAGTGGGGAATTTCACTCAACCCAGAACAATAGCGCTGCATGAACACAGCCCTGTGCACACAGAGACCCAGGAAAGGGCACAGGGGACCAGCGGGATGTGCAAACCCCAGAGAAAGCTCTGTTGGCTTCAGAGGGCTCAAGCAGAACGTATGTCTCAGTTCTCTGCTATTTCACACTCCGAGGGGAATTCTCTGTAGGACAAGTCAGGAGAGCCCAGATGAGACTGAATGTCAATCTGCCCGTATTTACTCATCTGAGGGCCTGGCCCCGGGGTTCTCTGGATGTCTCCAAAACGAGGCCGAATCACTGTTAATTGGCGACTCTGCCGAGGGCTCAGCCTGGAGCCCGGTGGGGATTCAGGGCTCGTCCCCAGGGGCCCACAAGGGATTTAAGGCCCAGGCGGAGCCGGGAGGCTGCAGGAAGCGGTGAAGCTGCAGCCTGGGCAGCAGTGTGGGGGGCAAGACGTGGGGGCAGCCCCAGCCAGCTTGGCAGTGGATTAGGGCTCTCGGGTGGGTCCTACTGCCCAGGCTGGGCCCCTCTCCTGGGCTGGGGAGGACGCTGGATGGGGCCACAGGAGTCCCGACCGGGGCAGAAGGGAAGAATCCCAGTCAGCTGGAGCCGCCTCTGCCCATGCAGCCAGTGTAAGTTGCCTGCTTTCGTCCAGATCTTCTCACGCTGCCCTTGGTTTCTGCCTGTCTCTGGCCTGGCCCTGCCACCCCCAGGGCCTGTCACCCGGAGGTGTTCTGTAGAGAACCAGCCACCTGGCCCCTTCTGCCTCTGGGCTGTGTCTATGCAGTACCGGCCTCTGAGCTGTG